TGTACAAAAGATGACATTTGCAGTACCTTTTGACGAGGCCTCCTTGCTGCCCTGAGAGGGGTCCAGGCTCAGCTGCAGGGAAGGAAAGGGAAAGCGAAAGAGCCTGGCTGGCTGCCTCCTGGCAGCACGTGGAGGGAGGACTTCCCTCTCGCCTAGTGGGCGGGGCCTGCGCTTCTCCATTAGAAGGCTGTTGAGGGCGCATGGGGCCTGCAGGAGGAGGCGTGGCCTAAGGACAGAACAGCGCCCCCTGGCAAAAAAAGTATTCCGCGACCGCTTACTTCGAGTAATGGACGGGCCGGCCCTGAGCATATTGTATTGTTTTTCTTGTACTGTTTTGCTCAAACTATTACCATCTCTGTCCTTTCAGTTATGCTACCAATATCTATTTTAAAAAATGGGAACTAGTTTGGAAAATTAGACACTCTGATTTCAGAATTTAAGAATTCTTTTTTAAAGTACAAGATGGCAAAAGCTGAACTAGCAGCCATTAAATTTAATATTAAACCTTTTAAAACAAACAGATATAGTTTGAGCAGCATACAGATGGTTTGAATGAAAGGGGGAAACAAATAAAGGTCTAAATTCAATGTTAGAACTGACATGGGTTCTGGCCCAACTTACCTGTCCGAACGTATCTCCCCCTATGAAGAAGCTAGAGCACTAAGACCTGCCAGGGAGGCCATGCTCTTGATCCCACCCCCCCTCACAAGCGTGACTGATGGCGAGAAACAGGCCCTCCTCGGTTGTGGCCCCTCAGCTATGGAATTCCCTCCCCAGTGACATCGGATTGGCCCCCTCCCTCCAGGTGTTCAGGAAAAAGCTAAAGACCTGGCTCTGGAACTAGGAATTTGGGGAGTAGTGCAATATGGCATATGCAATGTGGAACTCGACTTAAATGCAGCTCCATGAATAGTGACTATGGGACTAGGCATTATATTTTAATCTGTATTAATTGTATTTATATGTTTTATTGGTTTTATTCCTCAATCTGTTGTATTTGTCTATTTGTATGTACAATGCAGCATTGAATTTTGCCTTATCTTAAGCCACTCGGGATGAGAAAAGTGGGATAGAAATATAGTAAATAAATGAATAGGAGTTGGTTAGCATCATAACTATCTTGCCCAATTGATTGTGAAGTGTTTCCTCAAAAACAATTTTGATGTTTCTACTTTTGATAGGACGAATGCTTTATACAACCTATGGGTTGTCCCATTAAGCTTGAAGAAATTTTGGGGCCTATCTTATAAATACTTTCCCTATTGTGATATAGGAATTTTTCCCCTACTTCTAAATACATCTGAGTGCCTTATGAGGTGAACAATTTGCAGTTCAGTGATGCCTCAAATGTAGACCCTGCTGCCACCTTATCGGTTCTGTTTCCTGTTGTCTTCTCCTTGCTGCAGCTAGCGTTCACTTTTCCTCTTCTCTGTAGTGAAGAAAGCTGATAGGAAGAAAACCAACTCTTTTGAAACATGGGGCTGGACTCAGTTCTGGACTGAGAGGGGACAGGAGAGTCATGCTTAAATGTCTGAAAGGATGTCACATTGAGGAGGGGGTAGGCTTGTGTTCTGCTGCTCTGGAGGGTTGGACACAATGGAACAATTGATTCAAATTGCAGGAAAATAGATTCCACTCAAACATTAGAAAGAACGTCCTGACGGTAAGAGCTTGAATATGGGAGGATGGTGGAGTCTCCTTCTCTGGACGTTTGTAAACGGAGGCTGAATGACAGAATGGGATCAGACTGGATGGCCCTTGGGGGTCTCTTCCATCTCTGTGATTCTGTGACTGATAAAAAGACAAAGAGATACACCCTAGAGCAAATTAGACTGCCATACTTTGGTCATATCAAGAAAGGGCATGGTTTGCTAGAAAATACATTCATGTTAAGGTAGAAAGCAATGAGAAAAGAGGAGGACTGCATTACAGATGGATAGTTTGCTGCAGCCTCTCCTAGCTTGTCGGCTTTTCCTCACTGCTAACTCTTACCATCTTGAGTCTTGATGCACTGATGTCACTTGGCCACGTGTCCCAGTTTTCATCTGTGAAACACTGAAGGGCCCACTACAAAGCCTCAACCTGCAGCATAAAAGCAGCTTGGCTGCTATCCTAAGAACTGCAAGATTCAAAGCCAGCCACTGGAATCCTGCACTTTTTATCCATGTGCTTTGAACACCCAGCCCCCATGCTGCATCACAAAATGACTCTGAGCACTTCCCCAAACAGCTTCACACACAGGTTGTCATGCTGCATGTGAAAAAAGAGGGAGGCAACGTTTCAGTTTTAAAAGCTTCCTCATGCCCAAGAAACTGCTTTTAGGGCTTTTTGGAATCTGCCCAGTTAAAGTTATTGTCACACACAAATGAAGGAGAAACAACTGGGATCCTGAAATAGATTGACTTCTGTGCCTTTTCTGCTGAAAGTCACAGAATTTATGAGTAATGCGTAAGATTACAGCCACATCGTTATAGTTCCCAGCAGAGCAAGCTAAAAGTCATAAAAACAAATGTCAATGTTACTCTCTGATAGCCAGTGTGAGAAAATACATGTGTGCACACACAAATTATGACAGGGTGCAAATACACTCAACTGAATTCCTAACAAAAAGAAGAAGTGGAAAAGCAATTAGGCAGATAAAGTTACTAGGCACTGAGTGTAGTACCAACATTATGTGCATGCCAGTGAATAGTTGATGATAACTTTAATCCAAGTGCCTGAAAAAAAAAACTTGAACTAAATTTAAATGAAGTTTTAATAAATCAACATTTTGCTGTGACCCAATGGTATGTGTATGTGTGTACACCTTCAGACTGGAAATGGAAATGACTGCAAAGACTGTTACTTAAATCAATGGGTAAGCACAGTTGGAAAATACATGTATACTTGCAGTTTAGGGAATCACACATATGTATAGCACATTTTAAAAATTCTAAATATACAGATTGCAAAGCATGTTTTTGTTATGAAGTAATAAGATATGATGCAAAACTGTAGATTTAAAGCACAATCCAGAGAATCCATTCTGCATGCAGGGAATTATAGTGCTTCCAGTCACTATATACTTGTGGCTTACAACAGATTTCTATGACATCTCCCATATAACGAGGATGGATGGATACTTTTATTGAGAGATGGAAGGCATCCATCATTACACCCTTATTTTTGCCATAGTTCTGCCACTTTCTGAAAGTTTCAAATCTTTTTGTACACCTTTCACCCCAGAAGGTTTTTTTTTTGTCTGGTGTGAAAGAATTGGCTGTCTGTAAGGACATTGCCCAGAGGACACTCAAATGTTTTGATGTTTTATCATCCTTGTGGGAGGCTTCTCTCATGTCCCCGCATGAAGAGCTGGAGCTAACAGAGGGAGCTTATCCACACTCTCCCCAGATTATAACCTGCGACCTGTCGGTCTTCAGTCCTGCAGGCACAGGGGTTTTACCCACTGCACCACCAGGGACTCCGGTGGGTAATGGAGAGTGACTGCTATCAGTTAAAGTGTGGGATTTTAATTGTAGTTAGGACTAGCTCTGATGAAGCAGTTTCATTGAAATGGGTGGAGCCCCCAGTGGCGCAGTGGGTTAAACCCCTGTGCCGGCAGGACTGAAGACCAACAGGTCACAGGTTCGAATCCGGGGAGAGGCGGATGAGCTCCCTCTATCAGCTCCAGCTCCTCATGCGGGGACATGAGAGAAGCCTCCCACAAGGATGATAAAAACATGAAATCATCCGGGCTTCCCCTGGGCAACGTCCTTGCAGACAGCCAATTCTCTCACAACAGGAGCGAGTTGCAGTTTCTCAAGTCGCTCCTGGTGCTACAAAAAAAAATGAAATGGGTTTCCAAAGGACATCTTTGACTACACAACAATGTCCGTTTGTGGTAATATAAACGTTTGCCTCATAGCCAACATGTTTTGTTGTTGTGTGCCTTCAAATTTTATCCAATTTATGGTGACTAATTCACATGAGTTTCCTGGCAAGATCTGTTCAGAGGGGGCTTGCCTTTGCCTCAATTAGAGGATGAGAGAATGCGACTTGCCCAAAACCATCCAGGGTGTTTTCATGGACTATCAGAGATTTGAAACCTGGTTCTCTGGGTCCCAATCAATCAAACCAATACTGCCTCACTTGTTTCTCAAAGGCATTCCTGCATCTGAGATTCTGTCTACACTGCCATATAATCGAGATTGTCAAAGCAGATACTACAGATTCCAGATTATGAGTCTACACTGTCATATAATCCAGTTCAAAGATGATAATCTGGATTTTATATAGCAGTGTAGAAGGGGCCTCAGAAAGCTTACACTACCAACTTCTTCCTCTCAGTGTAGACAATTATATGTTGCATGTTCCAGGGTGGGAAAACCAGACAATCTCCACATCAACACTGACAAAGAAACAAGAAATACTGTTTACCCACAAACATAAAGAAATTACATATATTAGAAACCAACACTTTCTCATTACTTTATTTTCGAGATCATCAGACTGGGCCACAGCAATGCGTGGCAGGGGATGACTAGCATTATTTATAATGTTATAATGCAATGCAATATAAGAATATTATATATTGATATTACATATATTACAAATAATATTACAATATAATGGTGTAGTACAATATAGAAATATATAATACTGATATTGTACTATGCTAATAATATAAAAAATTGTATGTATATATATCTTGTAAGCTGCTCTGAGTCCCCTTTGGGGTGAAAAGGGTGGCATATAAATGTCGAAAATAAATAAACAAACCCAGTGGGTCTACACTGCAGAATCAATGCAGCCTGACATCACTTTCAGTTATGGAATCATGAGATTTGTAACAGCATTGATTTTATGAATGATACCCGAAGTGGGAGGAGCCTGCCTGCCTCCCTCCCTCCCTCCCTCCCCCCCCTCCCCTCCCCTCCGCCTTCCCCCTTTTCCACTCTACTGCTCCTCCTCCCTCGTGGCACCCGTTTATATAGCCTCCGGTAGCAGCTTAGCCCCGCCCACGAGGCCTCTCTAGCCTTCCGTCTCTATTCCTCCACCATGACGAAGAGGCGGGGAGGGCGAGAGCAGCGCGTGGCCTTGCGGTTGGGGTTCCTCCAAAACTGAGAGGGCGGGGGGAGGCAAAAGAGAGCGGGCTGGACTGTTCCATTCGTGCCGCGACGGCGGGGGGAGCCTGGGCTGGACTGTTCCATTCGTTCGAAGTAGAGTGAAGCCCCTCCCTCCTCCCACTGGCTTTTCCTTCCCACTCATGCTTTCCTTTCCTTCCTTTTCTTTTTTCCTGCCGCCCCCCCCCCCTTCATTCATTCTTTGTATTCCCGCTTCCAGGTTATTCCTAACACTCTCCCCTTGCAATGATGTATCTTCCTTTTCCCTCCCAACCTTTCCAAGGGTTTTGCTTTCTTGCAGTGCCCTTGCCTTCACTTTCACCCCAGGCCCTCTTTATATAGGAAACATCCAGACAGGCCCTATATCCTAGGATCTTTTCTCAGGCTTTCTGTTTATCCCAGATTATCTGGCAGTGTGGACTCATATAATCCAGTTTAAAGCAGGAAACCTGGGATCAGATCCTGGGATTAAAGGGCCCCAAAGGGATGATGTTTCATAGACTGCTGAAGCATTAGGAAATCTTCGGAGTACATTTTAAAAGTCTACTCCAAAGATAGTACTTCCTGCATGTACTGCAGCAAGTACTCCTTGAGCCATTGTATTAAATGGTTTTCTGTTATCTTCATTTAGGATGATCCACTTTCCCTGATATTTCAATTCAGGAGAAAGGAAACATGGTAAAAGATCAATACTAATACATCAAGAAGCAACCTTTTAAATAATATATATTGCTAAAACTGTGCAGCTATCTAGCCAACACCTTTTTGGAGCTCTACGAGTAGTAGTCAGTGATGGATGCCACAGAGAAGATCCCTGGTGAAAATGGCAGCCCACCGCCCTCTTCCCAAGAAGCAGGCGCCTCTTCTGCACTCCCCAAGTGCCAGCATCCAGACCCTCCATCGCTTCCTTTGTTACAATCCATTGCACCTTCAAATAGGGAAGGCAGAGGAAACAGTGGCATTGAGGTGGTAGGTCCCATAATGTCTTGCTTTCCATCCTGATTGTTTTTTGTGCACTAGTTTCAGCCTCTCTTAAGGGTGAGTGTACATCTACACTGTCGAATGAATGCAGTTTCACACCACTTTAACAGCCATGGCTCAATGCTATGTGATCCTGGGAGTTGTAGTCTTACAAGATCTTTAGCCTTCTCTGCCAAAGGGTACTACTGAAGCCTCACAAAACTCCTGTGATTTCATAGCATTGGTTGAGCCCATGCAGTTCAAGTGGTTTCAAGCACAATTAATTGTACAGTGTCGATCAGTGGTTCCCAACCTGTGGACCACCAATGGTCTACAAGAACTGAAATATGGTCTGCGGCCTCACCGTTACTACACCGTTGCAATGAGAGCGACTGGTCTTGCAAAACTCTCTTATAGTGCCAAGGATGATTAAATATGGTTTTCTGTGGGTGAGCAGATGGCAACTACTGGATGGCATATGTTCTGTATCAGAAACTAGAGCTGATGTGGTATGTCCAATGCAGTTTTGTGAATCAGCACCCCAAATAACCAAACCAAATCGAAAGTTGATCAAAAACCAATTTTTAACCCCTTTGGTACTAATGTTGGAGAGTGGTCCCTGGTAAAAAAAAAAAAGGTTTGGAACCACCAGTTTAGATGCACCGAAGTTCCTAGGCCCCTTTTGGATAACTGGTGGATGCTTAGGTGTCATTACATACAATGGCATAACAAAAGGATGTTCCCTTATATCAAATGTTTTATATCAAAGAGATTCCTTTTTGGATTTGGTATGCATGTTAAGTATTTTCAAGCCATTGATAGTGGAACTCTGTGGATACAGAATCTGTGGATACTGAGGGCCAATTGTAAATGGATGGTGAACTTAGTTTGCATTGGCACGGTAGAATAAATGCAGTTTGACACTACTTTAACTGCCGTGGCTCAATGCTGTGGAATCCCAGGATTTGTAGTGTGGTGATTTACCAGCTCTTGGGCAGAGAAGGTGAAATACCTTGTAAAGCTGCATGTCCCAGAATTCCATAGCATAGAACCATAGCAGTTAAAGTGGTGTCAAACTGCATTCATTCTACAGTGTAGGTGCATACTAGTTACTGTATTTCCAGCACTGATATTGTGTTGCTATAGAGCTGAGCAAGAATGGTGTTGATGGCTATTGCAGTCAGTATGCCTTTTCACAGAAGTATGTGTAGGCTTGTAATAGTACCACAAATTCATGTAGCAATTCCCAGATAGCTGCATATATTTAGCGATTCCCAGACAGCTGTATATACTTTTCTGTTTTAGCATTAAATTTGCTTCTGAAGCTTTGGAAAAGACGGTGCTCAGACAGTTCCTTGCTTGTTAGTACTATATCCCAAATCAAAGAAATAAAAAGAAATTGCAGTTGTAGCTTGGGTTACATGCATTTGCATTTTCTTGTATTGTTCATTAGCTCCCAATTTAATCTTCTAAATTTAATTTTGAAATTTACTTCTCTAACTGGGTATTTTTTGCATTTGTTAATACCACACAAACGTTTTCCATTAACAGTATATATTTAAAGCAATGATGTGGAAAAAGTTTGTGTATTTCTGACAGAGGCCTGGTTATTCTAAGTATCCAAGGACTGTTCATTGTAAACATAGTCCCATCTTTGCTTCTAAAATTTGTTTTCAAGTAGCAGATGTTTAAATATTTTGCATTTGATTGTTTTCAAAACATAGTAGGTTGCTTGGGAAGAAGCATCTTCCTTAAGCTTGTTTGTAGAGCAGGGGTGAGAATCATGTAACACTGAAGATGTTATTGGACTATAGGTTGTAGCAGAACTTTTAGTAGTGAGACATGTTGAGTGTTATAGTCTAGATTTCTGCTCTGGAAAAGTGGCAAGACTTGTCCAACTCCTCCACCATCCATGGTTGATGCGTTCCTGAACTTACTGTGGAAATAGGACACCATGGTTGATTGAGAACACTGTTGAAATGAATAATTCTCACCAGAGGTTGTAGCCTCCGGTGGCGCAGTGGGTTAAACCCCTGTGCCGGCAGGACTGAAGACCGACAGGTCACAGGTTCGAATCCGGGGAGAGGCAGATGAGCTCCCTCTATCAGCTCCAGCTCCTCATGCGGGGACATGAGAGAAGCCTCCCACAAGGATGATAAAAACATCAAATCATCTGGGCGTCCCCTGGGCAACATCCTTGCAGTTGGCCAATTCTCTCACACCAGGAGTCACTCCTGACACGACAACCCCCCCCCCCAAATTCCAGAGGTTGTCATAGAGTTGCCCTGAGGGACTGAGGAAATCCCTAAATACATATTCCATCTAGGGATTCCTTCAGGACAGGTATTTGGTAACTTCTGGCAAAAACATACCACTTGGAAGACCTAGAAAATTCCTAGGGACAACATATTTTGTTGGATGTGGGTTGTTTGGTTTGTACAGTACCACACTCATGTCTGCAGGGCTCTCCATGGATACCTGAAATTAGATAATAAATAACTCTATATTTGGGTCATAAGCATACTATAGATTTGCAATGGAGGACCTAGAGAGACCCAGAAACACTTCCAGGTTGAAAATACTTTTTGAAGGGTTAGAAAGTGTAATCAGTGGATAAGGGTGTTGTACTGTAATTTTTGGGGTAAGGTGACCTTGACGTCAGAAAAGCCTTACCGTTTTGTCCATTTGTAAAATTAGTATGTTTCCTTTCTCTCTATATATATATCTATGTCTGTCTGTTAATGGCAAGTAGGCATTAAGCTGAAAGTTATTCTGTGGTTCAACCCTCCCCTCCTGCACCTCTCAGTAACCCAGTTCTAACTCGGGGACTGCCTGTACTGTACTCAGATCAAAACGTCAGGTTTCAGTAATCTGTGAAACTTGCCTAATCATCTTTTTTTATAATTACAGTGAAATATTGTCTTTGGGTGACATTCTTAGCTTCAGAGCTCCTTGAATAACTTCTGAGGTACAGCATAGCCCCACACTAGCATGAACCTTGAGAGGAAAGTGGGGTGGTGTCTTACACATTTTGAAGTCATGCAGAGTATTCCCAAACTGTAGAGCAACCACAGGAGTTATTCCCTGTCCTTGGTTCTACATTTGAGAGAAACCAACAACCTATCACATACTCTAGATAAGGAAGGTATATTTGATATGGTGAACGTGATAAGGAGAAATGTATGCTCTTGTACATAAATTACATTTCCTCTTGTACAAATGTTTATATTTTGGGATATGGATACTTCCTCAAATGTATAGAGTTTTTTATATAAGTATTTTGTGTTGGTTAGAAGTGAAACTGGTATTCATTACTGTTGTGCTGTTGCTTTCTGAATTATGTCAACCCTAAGCTCAAACCCTTGGCAAGTTTTGTCCAGAATAGGTTTGCCTTTGCTTTCCTCTGAGGCTGAAAGAGTACGATTTGTCCAAGATCTCCCAATGGTTTTTCATGGCTGAGTGGGGATTCAGACCTTGGTCTCACGATAGAGGCTCAACAAACAATTCCATAGTGCAGTAGCAGTTAGTAGTGTTGAACTGCATTAATTTTACACTGTAGATGCACCCTCTGTTTTGAATTCCTGCATGCCTAGGAAAACTCACTAGGTGACCTAAGGCAAATTATTCTCAACCTTAAAGGAAGGTAATGGCCTCCCCTTCAAAACCAAATTTCCAAGAAAGCTCTGTGGCAAGTTCATCTTAGCCCCTTCCACACAGCTGAATAAAATACTACATTATCTGCTTTGAACAGGATTATATGGCAGTATGAACTCAGATAACCCAGTTCAAAGCAGATATTGTGGGATTTTCTGACTTGATATTTTGGGATATAGGGCTGTGTGAAAGGGCCCTTAGTGTCTTCGTTAAGTCAGAAATTATTTGAAGACACACAAAAATAATTATAATAAATAATAAGGGCTTTAAAAAAGTAGAGAAAAGGACTGTATCTTATATTTTCTCCCAAGAAATTATTGGGTTCTTAGGTGATGTGAGCAGGAGAGATGTAATTTGTGTTATAGTTTAGTCATTATTAGCAAGTCACAGAATAAACATTGATGATGCATTTTTGCTGATCCTATGTTATGTTTTCTTGTTCACTACAGTCGATAATTCTGCCAGTTTACAATGCTGAATGCTGGCTTGATGAATGTTTGAAGTCTGTTCTGGAACAAGATTTCCAAGGATCCTTTGAACTCTCTGTCTTTAATGATGCTAGTACGGTATGTACAATTATGCTAGATTCTTTTTAGAGCTAATGTACTGTTAGCACCCAAGTGCTAGTTAGTACGGTGTCATCTCTTAACTTTCCAGCATCCAATAATAGACTTCAATTCTTCAATATTGTCTCCACTTACAGGATAATTCAGTACATATAATAGAACACTGGAAAGTCATTTTGGAAGATGTGGGGATTCGTGTAGTGCTTAGAGGAAATACTTCATCTCAGCCTTGTGGAGGTTGGTACTTCTAAAGAATGTTGCTGTAAGATTACTTTGTTTTTAGAATGACAGCTTTCTGTGTAATTAGATAAAGAGATCAGGAATATTGTGAAGACCTGTGTCCTGGTGCACGTTGGCTCTTTGGTCTCAGTTGGCTCCTTCTTACTATGATGACTTTCCAAACCAAGAGAGATTTGTATACTATATTTTGTGAACTAGAGCTCCTGGTTTATAGCTTCCTTGACAAGCCAGAATGGTGATTTCCCTCCCCACTCTCACATACCCTTTGCTTATGGCTCCCAACTTGTTTGGGAGTGACCTGCTAGGAACCCCAGTTTAAATGAGATACTATGTTTGAGGTGGAGAATGTGCACCCTGCCAGAAGTTGTTTGACCACATTTCCAATCATCCCTAGCCCTTGTAGTCAGTGTTGAAGAAGGGGGGGGGGGGGAGGTCCTAGTCAACAAAAACATCTGGAAGGTTACATGTCCTCTTTCTGTGTGCACCCACAATATATTATTTTATATATATTTAGTGGCCATTGTAGCTGGGAAGAATGAAATGGTTTTTCTGCATTTGCATATACTTTAGCGTATGCAATTGGGCATGTGACAGCAGTTATTCTGTTCCTAAATGAATCTGGATTCATTATTATTATATTTCTTTATATCCCGCCTTAGCTCCCCAAAGGGGACTCAATGGCTCCTCCTTAATAATTGTCTAATGTGAACATCTTTTCTTGAGATTGTTAAAGTTTCTTTTTAGGTGTCATAATATTTTGTCTAACACAAAACACACTACAACTGTGTTCCTGACCTGACAGCTCTTGAACACAGATAAACGCATTTCCTCAGTTTCCCATTTAGTTTTCAATATATTTTATAGAGACAAATGATACCTACATATATACCGTATTTACTCAAATGTAGTGTGTCTCTTTTTTGGCCAAATAATGTCGCAGACATTAGGCTGAACATTAGATTACATGGTGCATTAGATTCAATTGCAAACTTGAAAAAAATAACTGATCATAAGTGCAGTTGTGAAGATTAAGTTCTAATTTGTCATCGAGTGCTGTATTTCAGTCAAAACACCAGATTTTATGAAAATATTTATTTTATTAAAATCTATTTTAACGTCTGTATATTGTCCTTGTTTTCATTTTCACTTGTATACTAGCAAAGGTTTATCATAGAATAGTGGGTTTTTGTTGTAAGATTCAATTTAAGAATTGTGATTTGTCTTGTTAGCGCATAAGAATTAATACATTTATCAAAGTATAGTAGGGTTTTTTGTAAAATTGAATTCATCATAAAAACTCACTGTTGTAAAGAGTGCACTTTTTGGTGCTGCACATTACATTCACCAGCAAATACTTTTTGGGGTTTCAAGGTTTTGAAAATTAATGTGTGTGTTAATTCAATGGCTTATTCGATTTGTGTAAATACAGAATTATAACTTGACTATAGTAACCAAAAGCTCCATATATATTTGTGTAGACACCCATTACCTCTAGTGCAGACCCAGGGAAAAGCTAGATCTGTTGTGTGCTAGACTGAAAAGTACAAAATTACATTTCCGATCCAAGGCAAAACAAATAGCTCTGGAATCTTTATAACAGACTGAGAAGTAATGGATTCAAGTTTAATTGACATGTGTGACCACTCTAGAATGAAAAACAGCTTAATAGGATATGAAGGGTACTGAATTTTAAAGTTTTTTTTAAATGTGAGGGTCCAGAAAAGGAAGGAAGAGAATTTCCCAAACATTTGCATTCATATGTAGAAAGCTTTATTTTTCCTCTTTAATTTCAGTGAGTATATAGTCATTCTATATACTATGTGACTATATAGTCATTCTATATAGTCATTAGGAGCCCCTGGTGGCACAGCCGGTTAAACCGCTGAGCTGCTAAACTTCCTGATCTAAAGGTTGGCACAGCAGGTTAAACCGCTGAGCTACTAAACTTCCTGACCTAAAGGAGAAACCTTTACCTATATAGTCATTCTATGTAATATATTCCCATTTTCCATTGCATTTTTTTTTGTATTTGCTTTCTTGAAAGTTGTTGCAGGAAATATGTTGTCCTATTGTAGTATGACCAGAAATCCAAACCTAAGAGGAAAAGTTTTGCTTGATTCACTCTGAAGGTGTGTGATGTTGCCTGTCATAGAGTCTTGTGGAATAAAGCAAATGGAGAACCAGAAAACCCCATTTCCCATTGTGGATGCTAAAGCAGCTAACCTTCACTCCAATCTTAGGCCTTTCCTCTCTTTTTATTTATATGAGGGAAAGAAAAGTGCTTTGTTGGCAGCTGTTATGTGTTGTGTTTAAGGCTGCTGTTTGTGGTTTGAAAACCTCAAAGGCTACAAAATGATGTTGCCACATCGTTATTAGTAAAACAGAATTTCTCTCTGAATTTGTATCATTTTGAGCTCCAAACAAAATGGCTTTAGATTCCAGCATGTTCAGCAACATCTATGATACATGTTTGGCAACATCTTCTATGATCTGTACTAATTTGTCTTGATCTTCATTAATTTTTTCTCTGACCTGGGTATGTGTTAGTAAATTCTTACACATACATACACATGGATTTAAATAAAATACAGAACAAAACCTATGGCTTCTCTGTATTTACATTGCTCTGAACATTTCTAGCAATTGATAAGCAGATTGAGGAAAGGTATATTACATTTTAAATCAGGTAATTATGCCGTAATCACTTTCCAGTTCAGAGAGAGCCGTTCAGTTGTCTCTTTGCAGAGCCAGTTTAGTTTCAACTCTTTGTGGCCTCTTTTGTGCCTTAGTGATTTACTTTGCTGTCCTTAGAAGTAGTTAAAACTTGTAGGGAGTACTTTCTTTGTGGTAAGCAGCTCCAATAATGGAATAATGTGATGGTTTTCACGTCTTGGACTATTTACACTGGATTAGGATTCATTTCTGATTCTTTTCTATCATGGAAAAGGAAAAAGAAAAACAAAAGGGAAAACTCACCACAAAAGAAAGGGTCAGTGGCTTTAAAGAAACGACCACAAAACTACTTCTTTCCAAGAGCGAGGAATGTTAATATCTCACGGGGTCTTAGGTTTTTCCTCCTGTGACCATGGCAACAGCCTCTTTTCACTAAGTAAGCAGACCTTACAAAATGCAAAGCCTTGGCACAAACATTTGAGGTTCATCAGTCTAGCAATATCACAGTGATTTTTTTTTGCTTATGTGTGAGACAGTTTTTTAAATACCTAGTTCCAGAGAAGGAAATCTCTTTGTAAGCATAGACTTTTGGTGAAATAATATAAAGATATTTTGCTACATGCAATTAACTATGATATTTTTGGTTGCTTTGTGTTCAGTTGAAATAATTTTATTTTACAACTGCCCACACTTGAATAAACAACGCTTCCCTTCCCCCTGTCCACTTATCACAATACCATGGCCAAGAGCCAGCCTTTACATATACAGTATCTAAAAACACTTTAATTTTCAGTAGTTTTTTAAAAACTCATTTTAACTCCTTCATCCTAGATTTTCCTGTAAGTAAGATTACTTTATCTGACTAACTATTAAGAAGTCAAAATAACTATAATATGGGTGTTTGTGATTTTTCATGATATATCAAAGAAAGAAAATACAGTAAAATACTGAGAAGGTGATTTCAAACAAGGGTGAATTTGCATTTCTGACCATCTTTTGCTCTCTTGTGTCTCAGTGCTAACTTTATTTTGCTTTGCAGGATCAACCCATGACTGATTTTATGACCTATTAGTAAAGGTACTCAGCTTTGTATGGGAGTAGTCATTATGCTGATAAACAGAAACTGGCAAGCAAAGTTAGCAGCTGTCAGAGCTGGATTCATAATCCTAAAGGAGTATTGTGCAACCCTAAAAATAGTTTTGGTAGTACTTTCTTAAGGATTGTGTAATTACAATCTTTTTCCAGCCAATCATTGTTCAAGTACAGGCAGTCCCCAAGTTATGAACAAGATAGGTTCTGTAGGTTTGTTCTTAAATTGAACGTGTATGTAAGTCAGTAGGACTATGGTGTTTGTTTCTGTGTTTGTGATTTCATCTCACTTTCTGTCCCTGTGATAGTTAAATTTTGAAAAACATGGCTTGTTGTGGAAACTATAATTGGTTAGAACATGGCGGAAACCACACATCACAACATTGGTGAGAAAGCTTCAGTGGAGACACCTTTCCCCCCCCCGTGATAACTCTTTCAGGAGTGAATTTCACTTCTAAGGAGTAGATTTTTCTCATTTCCTGTTGTCTCACCCATGTGCTTAACTATGAGTTGTTTGTAACTCAGATGTTTGTAACTTGGGAACTGCCTGTACACGAACAGCCTTCTCTCACATTTAATAGATAGGAAATTAATTGTCTACAATGAGTTGAAAACTATGGTGCCTATTGTGTAGGTACTGAACAGTTGTGAGATTCAGTGCAACTACACTGATACATATTTTGTTGTGTACCTTCATGTCATTTCTGACTTATGGCAGCCCTAACCAATCATGGTTGTTTTGGGCAGAGGCTGAAAGAGGGTGACTTGCCCAGGGCCACCCAGTGGGGTTCCAAAGCTGAGCCCACTATAATTCAATTGTTATAGTCTAATACTCAAACCACTACATCACACTTACTACATGCTTCCATGGCACCTCCTCTGTTCTGTTCTGTCCTGTCTGTGTGTGTATTGTCTATACAAAGCAGCATCGAATGTTGGCCGTGTATTTGTACTGTGATCTGCCCTGAGTCTCCTTCGGGGTGAGAAGGGCGGAATATAAATAAATAAATAAATAAATTATTATTATTATTATTATTATTATTATTATTATTATTATTATTATTATTATTATTTATACAGAACCCTGGTCATTACACTTTACAAATGAAAAGATGGCATAATTCAAGCACTCAGCAGCTCCCTGCCTTGAAGAAGTCAAGGGAGGAATCTGCTAATCATATTTGTGGAAGATGATAGCTTCACCACAACAGAGATGGTAGTACAGCACATATGGAGAGTGAGTGCTTGAGATCTGGTTCACATGCAAAGAAATAATGAGGTTTTTTGGGAGTAGTCCATTATATCTGTTGTTCTTCTGCTCTATTGATGCACAAAATGTGTGTGTGTTTTAAATATTAAGCTAATTTGAGTAAACATTTTTTGACTTGTAATCTAATACTGTACTATATATGATATGTTCTTTTATTTTCTTGGCAGTTGGCTTTGCTAAAAATCAGGCAATAGATCAGAGCTCGGGGACCTACCTCTGCTTTTTGGATTCTGTAAGTGGACCTTTTTCCAATTTATTTAAATTAGGAGATTCAGTACTCATATATCGCTTTCCCCTCTTTTTTAATAATTCTGTGAAATATGGAGAGTTGTATTAACACCGCAGACTGCTAAAATGACCAATTAATGGGCCCTAGAGCAAACTGAATCTGAACTTTCCCTAGAAAATAAAATGATCAAACTGACCTCTTTTGTCAGTGAGTGGTGAACCTGCTCTGGCTATGAACTTTTAAGGAGACTTCAAGGTGGTGAGCCATTTTGGCATCAAGGTTCACTGTCTTGTATAGCACCTTCAAAGTATTGGCCAAACTCTGTAGCAGATTCACTGCCTCACTTACAAAAGGGCTACCAACCATCATTGTTTTATTGGTCATTCATTAATCCCATGTGGCATCAAGACTTGCAATTAGCTTTATCCATTTCTCTGCTCATAGGAGTTTTAGTATTTGGACAAGAGAAGATGGCCTTCCAAGATGGCCACCAGTATGAAAAATATCTATACAGTACACATTCTTCCATGTTATATAAGCTTGCGTTACAACTAGATAAAACCAATGGTTTAATCTGTAGAATGTAGATGATGCTCAGAGCTTAGAGCTGAACCGGTAACTTTACTGTTCTTGAGATGTAAAAAAGATTTACACACACACACACAGAAGTTCAATGAAGAAAATATTGCCCTTTGCTCTAAACCAATTTTTTAAAAGAAATTGTAGTGCAAAGTAAAATTAAATGTAAGGCTCTTAGTTACATATCATGATGTTTTGATGTTTGTTCTAAATGACAAAAAACATCTTTTTGTCATTTCCCTCTATTTTAAAACAAGCAAAATGTTAGAAACAGCAGATAACTCAAGGAATAAATGTAAGAATTTGATATTTGTGGAATTTATTTATTTTGTGTCAAAAGCATTGCATAAATTTGTAAAAAACTGATAAAAATAGAAGGAGCACCAGCTGCTAAATATCTTTTGACCAAAAACGAGCAACAGCGATTCTTCCTCTGTACATAAGGGAGGACATTGTGGGCAAGCATACAGGTGCTGAGTTTTTTGTTCTGCTCCACAGTCACACAAGGTGGAGGATTCTTTTAGGTAGTGCCATTTTGCCAGATTGCCTTTTGATCTGCTCACTCCACTTCTGAGTCTGTTCAGGGTCTTCCAAGTTGCCAATTCTTGGTTTATTTGTGGAATGATTCTGCGATAACACTGGGATAATTTGAGATGGTGCACTGAATCCACAGGAGAAATACTACAGTCTCTCATCAGATCATTTCCTTTTATGAGAATTCTTTTATGTTTTGTTTTTAATGCAGAAGAACCTGTTTATGCTGCCTGTTGTGTTCAGCTTAGCCTGGCCTGAAGTGATTTATAGCTGAAGTTTGTAAAGACAAATTGCAGTTTGTTATCAAGCTTCCTGGTTTTTCCCTATTCCAAAGTAATCCAAAGAGAGCAGAAGTTCTCATGTGGGAAGAAGTTTTGTGTCCAATAACTTTTTTGCTACATGACTGTTATGTTTTTCTTTTTACTAGCAGAAATATATAACCTTCAAGTTGATGCATGCAAACTTATCTTGCTGAGAGAGTTATATTTATAGAATGAGGAACTTGGTTGGTTTTTCCTTTTAACTTTGGGGATTGTTAGTAATATCTGTGATAGGGCAAGTGGAAATGTTGTGCTTTCATTGTAATTAGTCGAACTCCTAATTTTCCATTTCCTCTGAAAAGGGGTTGATAATCTATCCATGTTGTATGAAAAGGTTAAAGATTTGAGACATAGGGTTCATCAATACTTTAAATTATATCCCTTTGGCACTACTTTAACTGCCATGGCCTCATGCTATGGAATCCTGGGAGCTATAGTTGGGTGAGGCACCAGCTCTCTTTAGCAAGGAAGGCTAAAGACTTTGTAAAACTACAACTCCCATGATTTCTGAGCATTGAGGCTTGGCAGTTAAAGTGGTGTCAAGCTGCATTTATTCTATAGTGTCGCTCAGTAGTCCCCAAACTTTTAAATTGGAGGGCCAGTTCATGGTCCCTCAGATTGTTGGGAGACTGGACTTTTCAGTGTGTTGGCAGTACGTATCCACATGCCACATACACCAGCCATTGCCACAAACCTGCCACCACACACACACACTGCCACTGCCACCCTCACCACACATCCACCACCGCCATACACGCACACTCACTTCTGCAGCTCACACTTGCTTGCCCTCTTTGCTTCCACACACATGTGCTTTCTGCAGCTGCTGTGTGAGTGTGTGTGCTGGCCACCCATGCACGTGGTTGTAGTGTTGGGGGCCGGGAAAAAGACTTTGGCAGGTCAGATTCAGCCCATGGGCCTTAGTTTGGGTACCCCTGGTGTAGATGAATCCGTAGGCATTCCAGCTGGTAATTGGAATGTCCCAGATAGCTATTTCCATCATGAAGAGCATTGAAATACACAAAGTAGCCTGCATTGCTAATAGGAGTTAATTTAATAAGGATAACTTTAGAGGTGTTGATGTCCCTTAATTCAGACGTAATTATGAACTAGACAACTTTATAAGTAGCTTAATTAAATCACTTTCCTATAGGTGTGCCCCAAACCTGTTGGTCTCTTCCCAGTAACCAAGTTCTGTGTAGCTGTGTGTCATGAAAAGAGCATCCATATTCAATTGGGTGGTGCATTGAGTTCCACTTGAGGTCTACTGCTCCTTCTCTGTAGGCTCTGTAGATCACAAATACAGTTTTAAATCTGTATGGGGCATTGTTTAGGAATATTTAAGCAGAACGATTTAGAGAGGAACCTGTTCCTTCCTTTCTACTGCTTGTGGCTAGTTGTTGTTGTTCATTCGTTCAGTCGTCTCCGACTCTTCGTGACCTCATGGACCAGCCCACGCCAGAGCTCCCTGTCGGCCGTCACCACCCCCAGCTCCTTCAAGGTCAGTCCAGTCACTTCAAGGATGCAATCCATCCATCTTGCCCTTGGTCGGCCCCTCTTCCTTTTACCTTCCACTTTCCCCAGCATAATTGTCTTCTCTAGGCTTTGCTGTCTCCTCATGATGTGGCCAAAGTACTTCAACTTTGTCTCTAGTATCCTTCCCTCCAATGAGCAGTCGGGCTTTATTTCCTGGAGGATGGACTGGTTGGATCTTCTCGCAGTCCAAGGCACTCTCACAACTTTCCTCCAACACCACAGTTCAAAAGCATCTATCTTCCTTCGCTCAGCCTTCCCTAAGGTCCAGCTCTCACATCCGTAGGTTACTACAGGGAATACCATGGCTTTGACTAGGCGGATCTTTGTTGCCAGTCTGATGTCTCTACTCTTTACTATTTTATCGAGACTGGACATTGCTCTCCTCCCAAGAAGTAAGCGTCTTCTGATTTCCTGGCCACAGTCTGCATCTGCAGTAATCTTTGCACCTAGAAATACAAAGTCTGTCACGGCCTCCACATTTTCTCCCTCTATTTCCAGTTGTCAATCATTCTTGTTGCCATAATCTTGGTTTTTTTATGTTTAGCTGCAACCCAGCTTTTGCGCTTTCTTCTTTCACCTTGATTAGAAGGCTCCTCAGCTCCTCCTCGCTTTCGGCCATCAGAGTGGTGTCATCTGCATATCTGAGGTTGTTAATGTTTCTTCCAGCAATTTTCACCCCAGCTTTGCATTCATCAAGCCCCGCACATCGCATGATGTGTTCTGCATACAAGTTAAAAAGGTTGGGTGAGAGTATGCAGCCTTGCCGTATGCCTTTCCCAATCTTGAACCAGTCTGTTGTTCCGTGGTCAGTTCTGACTGTTGCTACTTGGTCCTTGTACAGATTCCTCAGGAGAGAAACAAAGTGGCTTGGTATGTCCATCCCACCAAGCTTGTGGCTAGAGTTGTTGTTTATTCATTCAGTTGCTTCGTACTCTTTGTGACCTCATGGACCAGCCCACGCCAGAACTTTCTGTCGGCCGTGGCCACCCCCAGCCCTTTCAAAGTCAAGCCAGTCACTTCAAGGATACCATCCATCTATCTTGCCCTTGGTTTGCCTCTCTCTTTCTTTTTTCTTCCATTTTCCCCAGCTAGAGAATACCTTGTGCATATTACCTTTCTGATAGTACTGACCCTGAAAGGAGGGGTTACCATCATTCCACATTAGAAAAGCTAACTAAGGTGTTCATTTTCTATCGCATTATGTATCTATCTATCTATCTATCTATCTATCTATCTATCTATCTATCTATCTATCTATCTATCTATCTTTCTATCTATCTATCTATCTATCTCATTATCTCTTATTTCAGTTTGCAGGGTGATGGGAGAATGTGTATTTTATCTCAGTATGCATTTGAGTGTCCCATTTGGAACTGAAAAGGATTTTGTGTAACTGTTTCAGTTTTTACATAGCTGTTTTTATTCTTTCCTCCAAACTGCAGCGGCATTTATATTTTCCCTCTTTATTTTGTCTCTTTCTTGGAAAAGTTCCAGTTTGCTTTGCTTTCTTTCTTTCTTTCTTTTTTCAAAGAGGTACAATGTTTTCTTAGTGTTCAAACCAGTTACAATCTCTTTTGGCACGAGCACAAATGTTTTACAGTTTAGAGCCTTTGACATTATTCTCATTAAAGTGTTTATGATTTACTACAGTGTTACAAAACCTGGAAAAAATATTCATTATACAGCCAGTCATGCTCCCCTATGTTCCTTCCCCACTGTTTGTATAGTGAAAAACTTTGAATTTCCAGAAAATTGCAAGAGTTAAGTAACATATAAACCTGATCTGTTGATAAATATTTTTCTTCTCGTGCTTTCTCCTATCCTTTTGCTTTAATAGTAAAGCGAAAGGATAAGAGAAAATCCCTGAAATGGATATGGATCTAGGAATTATTTCATGTTTCAGTTGGAAAAAGTTTCTTAGTGTTGTGCAGGAATTGCCGAAAACAGATGTTATGGCTGTGTGACTTAGTATTATTCATGGCTGTTCTTATTTGCCTTTTCTGTTTCTTGGTTTTGATCCACCAATTCAGTATGGAATTATTCAGAATATAATCTCAGTGTCAGTTGTATGGAATGTGCCAAGCAATTGATTTTCAGGAAATGTTGCTGCTCTTATGTATGCAAGTTTGCTACAGGTTGAAGAAGGTTGATCTAGTATTTCCTATGGCTGCATGTACATGTATGGCACACATGTCGTTTTTTTATTGTAGGGATTCTTTAAATTACATGGACCTTATGATGCACCATTCCCTTGCCTATCTGATGGGAATTGGTTACAGTCTCAGGTCATGTTAGGTAAAGGAGCATAGTGTTTTCTGTGGGCTGTCTAAAGGGCAGTACAATGGCATGTGGGCACCCACTTCCCAATTTCTTATACAAGTGAATAAACATAAATCTTGGAACATAACAGGAGATTATGACTGGATTTGTTGAGAACTCCGTTTTGACTTTTTATGTCAAATAAGAACTTTTAAATTCTAGCAAATTACAGTGAAATCTTCATGAAAAAAAATGCAGCACAACCCCATATCTGCAGGGACCTATTCCTGGACTTTGTATGGATACAATGAACCCCTTAGAAATAAAAGAGTTTCATAGAGGAGCACAGGAAATGCCCAGAGAGGATGTATTTTGTTGGAAGTAGATAAGTGAAACTACCAGCATTGGTCCTACCAATACAAGGCTCATAACTGTATTTAAATTCTGTCACAAAAATGTTATTTTAACACTTTTATTGAAAAACATTTTAAATAGTTTACAAACTGATTTTTTTCAGTTGCAGATGAAGTCATATAGTTGACTGACTTAACAGTATTCTGGAATGTCCTAATATTTTGGTTTTCTCAATGAAAGCATGGGAGAACATTGGTACACTGAGAAATATAAGTTCATTGCCATGCATTAAAAGATTAGTCCAGGAACCAATATCTCCCTTATACACAGTCCTACTTCTGGAAGCATTTAATAACTAGTCAAGAACAGTGGCTGAAAACCGATCAGTTTGTGGTTGTAGGATGGAATGAAAATGAGTGCATGACTGAGGACAGTGGTTCTAAATTGTATTTAGAACACAATAAGTTGCTGATTATCTCAATGCTTGGGCTTTTTTTTTATAGTGAGAGTATTGAGTAAAATGACTCTTTTGGCTTAGCCAATTCTGCTAACTGAACCATTTTCAGTTGAATACTAACATCAATATCTTTAGGCCCAGGACTCACAACTAATGTTATCGAGACATATATTGTTTTCAACATATGTACATAATTGAGAGAGGCAAACAGCTGTTGCTGGGTTCCCGTGGGTTCTGTGGCTATAGTCAGCAGATTCAATATTTGGTTTGCATTCCATTTTTTAGCCTTAATTCCCCAAGTGCCAAATAAGAAGAATGTGCTTCACACAATTCTTAGAAGAGTAGCTAAGAAAAGGATTTCAGTGTAATCTATATGTTAATGCATGTAAATATTGAGTGATATCAATAGTGAACAATATTGCTTAACATATCTAATTTGTAGAGAATAGGAATGATTGAAACCAAATAAGTTTGTTGTATTAAAAACTGTATCAAGTTGGTTGGCTTGATGTAAATCAAGGGTCCTCAAACTAAGGCCCGGGGGCCGAATGCGGCCCTCCAAGGTCATTTACCCGGCCCTGGCTTAGGGTCAACCTAAGTCTGTAACGACTTGAAAGTACACCACCACCACCACCACCACCACAACAATCCTATCTCATCAGTCAAAAACAAGCCCACACTTCCCATTGAAATACTAATAAATTTATATTTGTTAAAATTGTTCTTCATTTTAATTATTGTATTGTTTTAAGTGGTTTTTGTACTACAAATAAAATATGTGCAGTGTGCATAGGGATTAATTCATGTTTTTTTCAAATTATAATCCGGCCCTCCAACAGTTTGAGGGACTGTGACCTGGCCCTCTGTTTAAAAAGTTTGTGGACCCTTGATGTAAATACTCAAAAATGCAAAGATGAAACTCTTAGGTTTTCTTACTTTTTAGTACATAGATATTTTTAAAATCATGATTCAATGTGATAACTTATTCTTCAGAGGTAGAAAGAGCATAATGTTGAAATAGTTCTTATATAAAATGTCTGGGTTTGCTTTAACCCATGTTAATTGTCCTTAGGATTATGATTATTGTGGTTATTAATATTACTTTTATATATGTGCTGTTTTGTGTCAATAATTAGACTAAAGGGTTGGCCAAAACACCTTTTGGTGCCTCAGATGTTAGCTCTATTCTTGGTATATTTCACTTGCTGATTCCAAAAATGGCACCAACCCCCCACCTGCCTCCAGTAAACTCTATTTTTTGATATCAATCATAGAAAACCATGATAACCATATCTAGAGCTGATGCAGTCTATCCAATGCGATTTTCTGAATCAACACTTCAAATAATCCTAGGAACAGACCGAAAGACCAAGACACCAAATTTTTGTTTTGGTTAGATTGTGTAATGAGACTCAAAGACACATTTTAAAAACAATACAGATTATAATAATACAAAACTTTCATTAAACATTCAAACATTTAACAATTGATAAACTTTAAAAATAAGCATTAAAACCCAATGTCTCAATTTGTTGATTTGTTGATTAAAGGAGAGCAAGGATAAAGCCATTTTGGTCTCTCTGTGGAGGGCGTTTTACAGTCTGGGAGCTGCCACTAAGAAGGCCCTCTTCTTGTTCCCACAAAACAAGATTGGGAAAGTAGTGGACAAAACAGGATATCTCCAGGCAATCACGGAACCCTAAGGAGCTCATAAAGGGAAATACAGTTCTTCAAATAGCCTGGACCCAAGCTGAATAAAGCTTCAAAGTTTGAATTGTCTCTGGACTTTGAATTGTCTCTGGAGAATAGACCAGCAGTTAATGGAGCTGTTGTAACAAAGTAGGTGTGCATTTCTTGTAGCCAGTTTCAGTTAGCAATCCGGTTGGAGCTCTTTGAGCCAACAGAAGTTTCAGAGAACATAATTCAAAATGGGGTGTAACCAAGGCGTATGTTCTAATGGCCAAATCCAACTTTTCTACGAATGGGCACACTAGGGGTCAAATACACTGTATAAAGCTTTATAGCAGGGATCCTCAGACTTTTTAAACAGAGGGCCAGGTCACAGTCTCTCAAACTGTTGGAGGGCCGGATTATAATTTGAAAAAAAAAATGAATGAATTCCTATGAATACTGCATATATTTTATTGGTAGTGCAAAAAACACTTAAAACAATACAATAATTAAAATGAAGAACAATTTTAAGAAATATAAACTTGTTAGTATTTCAATGGGAAGTGTGGGCCTGCTTTTGGCTGATGGTTGTTGTGTGCTTTCAAGTAGTTTTAGACTTAGGTTGACCCTGAGTGAGGGCCAGGTAAATGACCTTGGAGGGCCGTATCTGGCCCTCGGGCCTTAGTTTGAGGACCCCTGCTTAATAGGTTTTCAGGAGGGCGTGTCATCTCATCTAACACTGGTTATTTATTGTTAAATACTACCTGGTAACCATTGAACTAACAGGGTAGCTGGAGTTTTTCCATTATCTGTAACCTATTCTTTGTGTGTTGTGATTTGATATTCTGATTAGTAAAATGACCAGCTAATCTGGCAACAATTTGCTAGTTATTGTTTAAGAATAGCAGTGGGCTCTCTTTCTGTCATTTGTTTATTTATTTTTTCAATGACTGTATATTCTTCTTACAGGATGATGTGATGATGCCCCAGCGAATAAGGCTGCAAAGGGAAGCTGCTATCCAACATCCAAAAAGTGTGAGTTCTTGTCCTTGTAACTCTTCTTAAGAGGAAAGCATGCAGTTTCTTTCTTTACAAAAAGAAGTTAATTTTCACTTGTACAGTATAGTTTGCATTCAAAGTAATATGGAATAAAAAATAAAGAAACGAACAAAGAAAAAAGGATGAAAAGGCAAACTGGTACACAGTAGAGCTTTGACCGCACCTCCCTCAAATCCTGGCTATAACAAAAAGAAAAAAAAAAGGGGGGGGGATATACTAAAATTCCTAATTGCTTTGCTAGATTTGTTATTACTAAAAAAATCCATAGTTTTCAAACTTTCAAAAAGATCTTCAATTTGCTTATCTTTAGAACCTATGTTAATTTGGTCAGTGGCCTAACTCAAAAATATCTCATTCTTCCATCACTAATGTCTCAGTTCTTTTAACACAGTGGTTCTCAGCCTTCCTAATGCCTTAATACAGTTCCGCATGTTGTGGCGACCCCCAACCATAAAATTATTTTCGTTACTACTTCACAACTGTAATTTTGCTACTGTTATGAATCGTAATGTAAATACCTGATATGCAGGATGTATTTTCATTCACTGGACCAAATTTGAATACTGGTGGGGTTGGGGGATCGATTTTGTCATTTGAGAGTTGTAATTGCTGGAATTTATAGTTAACCTACAGTAAAGAGCATTCTGAACTCCACCAATGATGGAATTGAACCAAACTTGGCATACAGAACTCCCATGACCAACAGAAAATACTGGAAGGGTTTGGTGGGCATAGACCTTGAATTTTGGAGTTGTAGTTCACCTACATCCAGAGTGCACTGTGGACTTAAACAATGATGGATCTGGACCAAACAGCATAGATACTCAATATGCCCAAATATGAACACTAGCGGGTTTGTGGAAAATAGACCTTGACATTTGGGAGCTGTAGTTGCTGAGAATTATAGTTGACTTATAATCAAAGAGTATGTTTGCCATATATATGTACATTGTAATCCGCCCTGAGTCCCCTGCGGGGTGAGAAGGGCGGAATATAAATGCTGTAAATAAATAATAAATAAACAAATATTCTGAACCACACCAATGACAGAATTGGGCCAAACTTCCCACACAGAACCCCCATGACCAACAGAAAACACTGTGCTTTCTGATGGTCTTTGATGACCTCTCTGGCACCCCCTCATGATCCCCCCAGGGGTCCTGACCCCCAAGTTGAGAAACACTTTTTTAACAGGAAGACTTGGAAGATGTTGTAGCAACATCAACTGTAATTGTCAGTTGATGCAGGATTATTAGTAATAGTTTTTATTGATATTCTATTTATTTCTTTAATTTTTTTTCCTGCCTTTGTCTTGGCATGGAACCCAGAGCAGCTTATTACAATTTTGAAGAGAAATGCAGTTAAAGTTTTACTTTACAAAAGTGTTAAAAAAACAAAGAGCAGTTAGTTTAAAAAGCCACACGGATAAAACAGTTAAAATAATTACTACTATAAAAGATAAAAGTACACGATACCACTTTCAAGCATCCATCTTCCACATTCTTTAAAGTCTCAAAGGCCTGTGTAAGTAAAAAAGGGCCTTTGCCTGTTGAACAAAAGGGAGCATAAGTTGACAGGTGATATGGAAGCACACACGCACACACTTATATTAAGATTTTGTGTTGTTTTGCTTGAATTCTAAAGGTAGTCTAACTTGCCTTTCTGGGCTTTCAAGATAGATTCTTGTGAAACTCTGCAGTCCTTGGAGTGATTTATTTCCACATGATTTTTATTTGTAGGAGTCTGCACTCTAGTGGAAAGACAATAGTGCAAGATCGGAAGTACAAGAACCTCCAGAGCTGGGATAGGAATGGATAAAAGGGAAGCAACTCTCATGCTCAGAACATTGGCACAAGTCACCTGCTAATGTTGGATATATTGGATAGTATTATTGAGTATATGTTAGATACTGCTATTGTAAAGCCAGAGTAATGCAATGATTTAAGTATGCACCTAGGAATGGGAACAACATAGTTCAAGCAGGAAAGCCCATTGGGTGACCTCGGACAAGTCACACTGTCTCAGCCTCCAAAGAAAGCAATAAAGTATCTCCCATTTATAAATCTTGCCAAGAAAACCTTAGGAGAAGGTCACCAGAAGTTAGAGCTGACATACAACAATAATGTGACACACAGAAGTACGTATCTACCAAGGCAAGGGTGGCAACCTTTAATTGTTCTATAAAAAGGATCCAACAACAGAGAACCCAGGGAACAAACTTGAGATATCCGGACCCCTCCATTGGAGCAATGTACCAGCACACTTGCACTCACAAAAGTTGGCCTGCAATTCAGTTGGCCTACAATGGCCAGCTCTCTTTAAAACCATTGACTAGGGCTCCTCGTAGCTGCAACTTGAGAGCACCAAGAGAGGCACATGGTTCTCTCTCTTATACTAAAGGGACTGTGTTGTGCCATGTTTTGGCACATGTGAATCACACAATGATTCATGAAGAAATAGAACTTATTGGTCCACATCTTTGCTGCCATGCTGATCTGATTCTGATATAACTTTTAGATAGCTGATTTAATAATATGAGAAGGTTGTTTTTTGAGAGAGTGAAGCAATTTTTAATGTTGCGGACGTATTCAACATGGCCTGTATGAGAGAAAAGCTATATTCAGTTTTCAGTTTCAGACTTTAAAAATAACTACCAAGTGAAAGTGATCAACACTTTTTATGTAGTACTCATTTGAAGAAAAAACGTACCAAGGGAAATAACCCTCTGTGAGCGAATGAAGGAATAGAGCCAGAAGGATAAAAGTAATTTTCTTTTTCTTTGAACTAAAACAAAAACAGCAGAAGTAAAATGGTTTGAGTTTAATTTTCAGGCATTAATCCATACCACAGTATTGCCATACATAACTTGGCAAGCGTTCTTGTTAAAGAGGCCCACAGATGACTAAGCTTTAAAAAGAATTTAGTGTGTGTTTTTGTTTCTTAGTAGTAAAATATAGGTCTTTGTTTTAGTAGATATATATAGAGAGAGATGAGCTCATACTGTGCCCAGTCTCGTTTCACTTGTTTGGACAAGTTGCATAATAATGAAATGTCAGTAAGGATAGGAATAGAACAAATACATGGTTCAGTCATGACCCTGCAAGTATTCTCAATAGTTAACTGCAGCTAAATCTGCAAAAAAAGCGGCTCGGTTTGGGCGGGCAGCCAACTGCTGACCTATGTCTTTGCTTTCTTCTGCTAAGAGTGCCATGTACCTCTTATCTTCCATGGTTTCTTGGCCTGTTTTTATTCATCAGCACAAAACAACGGGTGACACAGTTATGAGCGCAAGAAATATCCCCTTGTCTTGTCTCAGATGTTGAACAAATAAAGTTACATTGTTTAAAGAGTTGCGAAAAGTTACATCATTCAAAAGCAGTGTTACATCATGGAACAAAATAGAATAGAAAACTGTGTGATACAATCTTCTTGTATTAGTTGTAATAACGTTATAATACAAGTTAATTTTGCTTTTGGTGTTTCACTTATCTTCTCTGTCCGCTTTGTTCCAGGCAAGAACAAAAGTTGATTCAGTTCCCTGATATGAACCATTTTGATAACATTAGTAGCCCAAAGCTGTGGATTTTGCTGGCAAACATTTAAGTTACAATCAAATGTTAGTTTCTTAAATTTCAGCTAAAATTATTTGTTTGGGTTACGGTCATGTTTAGTGTAGTCTTGGCAATTAAGCTTTCGAACCGCTTGAAAGTTATTTCTGCTTTCTGCTTTTGTTTGTTTGTTTGCTCACCTCACTGTATTTTCATTTGCATGTATTTGTTTTTAATGTTTGATCTACTATTTTCATCATTACATTTCACTGTAGAATTACATCATCAAAATGACTCTTGTTTAAATAAATTTTATAACTAGGGGATTGTTAGTAGTTAATATCCCTTTTTAAAAAATCTATCATATAAATAGAGTTTTTCTGTGTCTTCAGAAAACTTCTGGGACATTTTAGGGGTGAACTGAGCAAGTCTTTGGGAGCCACCTGCACACACACACACACACACACTTCCTGTCTCCCCAATTGTACAAGTCAGTACTGTTTCCTTTCAATTAACCATTTTTTTTTGCTCACCTCATAGGGACTGGTATTTTTGGAATACTGTCTCACTGATCATTTTTTATTTCCCAGATCTTTAATATTTCTTTTGAAGTATTTTTGTCCAAATTATTTAGATTCTATTGGGCTTTTATGGCACCAGAACTTTTATTTAAAACGTTGTAAATGTTGTGGTAAGGTGTCTTCTACTGAAGGTCATTTGAAATGTTTTTTTTTTTAGAGAATATCATAACAATGCTTCATATAAATATGCTTGGCATTTATTTCCATGAGTAGGAAAAAAAAAGGATAGCTAAGCTTTATGTTTATCTCTGGCAAAGTGCAGTTTTGCCTCCCAAAGTTTTAGAAAAATATTACCCCTTGAAATACTATTGTCTCTTCTAAGTTTGTCCCTTCTAGTACCAGATCAGTATAGTATTTCAGATTCCACTGACACACAGACCGCCAACATTTTTAGATACTGGATTTGATACCACTGTATTTTCCTTCCCCCCAACCATTTCAGAGTTGAATCGTCTTCAACTCTGAGTTAAACAACATCTTGAAAGGTGCTGAATGTGCTGAATCTGTATTAATGGAGTATTCTTGGAATCAAGAGAATTGCCAAAGATACTGATTAATGTTGCAGTTAAAATGTAAATGTAAAAAGAAGCATAAAGCAGAAGGCATCAACCAGGGAGGTCCTTTCCAATTCTTCTTTGTGAGCACTTCTTCATTTTAGCATGCAGCATGTTCAGGAAATTCAACACATTGGTTGCACTGGCTTAAATTGAATCTTTAACCCCTCACATGGGCTTGAATCTCCATTTCCTCATGTGGAAGTTTATTTTCTTGCTTTAAGGCCCGTTTGCTGAGTGGTGCAGTGGAACAGGGCAGATCCTCAGATTCTACACTTCCATAAAAACAAGGC